CTTACGATGTATATCCATATCGAAAAAAGGTAACATTTGTATTTGCAGCACCAAGCAGGTGACTAGGTAGGCTTTAAGAGGTTTTATACATCCAAAGAACTTCTATAAAAAAGCAGACCAGGCATCTAATTAAGACCTGCGTTTATTTGTCAAAACGTGTGGCCACCCAGGCCAGACAAAAGGAAGAAGCATCTAATTGGGACTAGGCTTTTAATTTAAGTTTTATGGTATTTCCACTTTTTAAGTTAACATGGCAAACTTGTTAGCAAACAATAGTGTTTTTACCCACCCAGCAGGCACAGAATAACACTTGGTGAACACAAGTCCAATATTCACTCTCTTTGAACTCTGTTCAGGAGGATAGCGACAGACTACGAGATTTTTCACAACCTGGAAAACCAAAAGTTATTCTTTTTGTGGCTTATTACTGACCTTCAAAATGTCAGTATTAAGTAAATTATTTATCAACCAGCGACAGACTAAATAGTTGTAGTTGTTGTTACATAGTTGTAACATTCTGCCAACAGGCATTTAAATCTCATATCAATCCATAATGATCTTGAGCTTTGGTATTTACACTCCCAAGACATCTAATCACCAGCCTGCTGACCTGAGAAGTGCTCCATACAGTACATTACAAGACAAACTTCAAGATGATTAGGCCTACATGTAAACGCAGTTTATGTAATTAGTGTTTCTCATACGTGAAAGCACTGTGAGGCACACTTACGTGAAATTAGTTTTTTAGAAATACACTTGAATGTTGATAATGAAGCCCAGTGTGGCCCTGGCAGCAGGTGGTTCATCTCCTTGACTACTGATCACTCCACATATTTGCATCAACAACACATTAACAACATATTTCAGCATTTTTTGAAGGGCACCTTCACCTTTTTTTTAATACTCCCACTTATGCTGCTAACTCCATCTGGTTTGGTTGGTCTGTAATTTATGATCTCAGCAGCCACAGGCATGCTTTTCTTGGATGAAAGTATTGCACTGGCAGATAAACATGTTGCTTCCTACCAAGCTGTGCTCTAAACCTGTGATCATTTTGTCACCGTGAATAAATTTCTTCTAGCCCCTTGGGCAGTGATTGGATTCTCTTTCTTTTTCTCTTTCCAGTGTCTCACAAATTTACAAATATAGCAGTGTTGTCAGTATAATGTGTGTGTAATGTGGATGGTTTTACAGTCTTGCTCATCATAAGAGCAGGCAGAATAGATATAGTGTTCTACTATTTTCCTAGGGTATGTTTGTAGGCTATGGTTACATGCAGTGAGATTATTGTCTTGTTAGTTTTTAATCTTAACAGTTGACGGGTTTTGCCGCCTCTACAAAGCCTTGTTCATCTTTTACCTCTGAAAGCCAGAATGAGTCCCACTGTCTCTAAGTAGGTTTATTTTTATTTAAATCTGTGGCTTCCTTCTTCACTTCATTTTGGGCAACTTTCCAGCTCGTGCTCACACCTGCTGCAAAAAAGAGAGAAAACACTGACTTTGTGTTGTGCAGGGTTTCTTACTTTAGGTCCATGCTAATTAACAGGAAGAGGAAAGAAGGACAGTGGAGGTATAACTGCTGCCTGACTTCCATCATTCATTCTCCATCTACAATGAAAAGGTCATTTTTTTTTAGAATTTTCAGCAAAAGAAATTAAACGTCTTAGCCTTACTCTGCCATTTGGAACCAGAGAACATATAAATGTGAATCACAGTGCACTTTAAAACCTTTTATCCAGGCAATGGAATTACTGAAGAACTCACTACAAGGTAGGAGTTTAGGGCATGATGCTCTAAATGGAGACAATGGAGACATTTCAAAAAGCTTTTTTTAAATAATAAAAGAACAAGGGGGATTGCAGCAGTATGTTATGTGCTAACTATTTTTCACTGTGCTTAAAATCCCGATACATCTATAAATATCAAGTAGAAACACTAAAGGACAAATGGTGACAGTTCACAATAATGAAATTGCTTTTGGTCACTTTGAAGGTCAAGACAAGATACAAGATACAATCACCCAGAACAACATGTTGTTTTTTATTCTCCATATGCCCACAGTTTGCATCGGAAACACAATGATTAAAATTCCTCATCCATAATCAATGAGTAATGCACACTTTCTGAAAACAGTGCACTAACAGCACTTTAAAGGTGAAGGTGTTAAATCAGAAGGCTACTGGAAATACATCTGTGCAAAAAACAAACAAGCAAATAAAAAATCAAACCACTCTCAGATAGAGTCCTGCAAATGTCTGGGAACAGATCAAAGTCCTGTTGCTGTTATTATCCTAAGATGTATCAGTCATGACCACTAACTAATCAGTTCAACATCAAACGTCATCAGCAAGTCCAACCCAGACATTAATCTTTTTGGGTATCTGCCACCTTATTGGCTTACTGTCATTTCCACAGACATCTCTCTCTCTCTCTTTCTTCCCTCCTCTATATCCCCCTCTTTCTCCTCTCTCTCTCTCTTTGTAAAACTGCAGCAGCTTCAGCGGAGACGTGCACAAGGACAGTCTGCTCTTCATACTCACACACTCACACACTCATCATTACACTGAGAAACGCCAAAACAGGTAAGTTACCGAGTGTTTTTATTCATCTGTATTTGTTTGTATGTTTGTTAATTCGTTTTTTGCATACCTCAGGCATTGTTTCTTCAAGACTGAACAAAATAACTGAATAGAATAGAAATATGATTAGATGAATAATTTCTTAATAGTTGCAATAACACACAAACCATTCACATTATCCTCCTTCAAATGCCAATGTGCTTAATATGTGTGTCATAAAAGTGAGAATTTATTGATTTACACTTGCACACTAGAATTATTATACATCAAATTTTTGTTTTTAATAAATGTGCATTGAGAGATGTTTTTATGGGTGTTAACAGCCTTATGTGCTAGAGATCTGTTATGTAAGACTTCTTGACATTTTAATCCAGAAGTCATATACTTCTTTAATCAAGGCACACTTTGCAAATAACATGGGAGATAAAAAATGAGGATGAAGCTTCAAATACGGTTTTAAAATGATTGAGGAAGGTACAAAATCTGTGAATGTGTACAAATGTATCCCAAAGGAATAAAACAGAAAAACTATAAATCTGTTTGTTTTTTTCTTGCACTGAGACATCCAAGTTGATAACATACTGTGCCATTTGGTTTGAGCTCGTACTGTATGTGTGGCCATTTTCAAGGAAAGCCATTGCGCTCGTGGTTCAGCTTTGAAATGAAAGTACTTCTTTTGCTTATAAAGCTGAAAATCTGAGCATTTAATTTCAGCAGATACAACCTTATGAACCAGATTTTAAACAGAATTGTTCCACTGATAAATAGCAGTAGTCCGTTTGTGAGAAGAGCACAGCAAAGTCAGCGTCCTATTAATAACTCATTTTATAATTAATTTCCTTTTTAAGTTATAAATACATGTAGTGGCTACATTGCAGAGTTTACTGCATAATTCTGTACTTAGTGTACTGTAGGTGTAACCCATCCACTAGATGTTGACCTGGTCTGAAACACTTGTATTCAACTGTGAAAATTAAAGTGTTCATTTACAGCCTGCAAGCAGAAGAAATAATCTCTGATTGCCTTTCAGTAAAAAAAACCTTCCTCACTGTTCATGAATATCATGAACAGATCTGTGATCTTTGCAATTAGCTGTAACACGGTGTAAATTCATTTCATATGGTCCCAAGGCCCCTCTCCACTGACAAGTGAGTTACATTAAGTCATACTAATTTATAATAATTAAACAACAATTGAGCCATAGAAAGGCCAAACAGTCACTGTTGATGTGGCCGTTGCAAATTTTACAACGTGGCAAGGTGAAAAGATCTAAAACAATTGAATTAAATCATGTGAAAAACATAGGAAACCCACATTAGCAAAGAGGAGCAGTGATAACATGTAATCCCTCACCAAAACTGACTGAAAGACTCTTAACAGGACATATAAAACATATAAAACCAGCACAAGCTATGACTGTAAAAAAAAATAAAAAAAAATAAAAAACGCCCATTAAGATGAATGCAAAAATCACAACAAAAAAATATAAATTATGGGCTTCATCAAACAGTTTGTCACTGGTGAAGTATTATTTTGCAGGCGTTATGTCTGTGCCATTAATAAGGGATGTGACAGGTGCTAAGGGTGCTCATATCATATCATTTATTAACAGTAAAACTGTGGATACATCCAAAGAAGTAACACGTATTCTGCATTCACTGACCACAGAATCAATATGCACACATTAATATTATATGTATACAATGGTTTTATAAAACAGTGGAATCCTGAAGACACTAAACAGCAAAACTTTTAATCTTTTGTTTCACATTATCGTTGCTTGATGAAAGCTTTTATTTATTCTGGATTGTTTTACAAAAGCAATATCACACTTAAAGAGTGCGACAATCATTAAGGGAAGCATCCTTGTGGCTTTTACTTCACACAACCAACCAAGACAATATGTAATTTAAAAAGCAAGTTTTTCTTCTCTTCTAGCATAATAAGACTATTTTAGTCCCAGACATTGCATCAGCACGCTGTCGTCAACATCATGCTTTGGAGTAATTTTGCATTATTTATTATTTAGAAATCTCATGTCATACAATTTTACCTTCATTTAATTATCTCTGTGATTCATTTGCCACTAAGTGACTGTGACAATAATAATCAGTAAGGAACAAAATATTTTTACTTTTTAATAAAATGCGTCAAAACCCAGCATCTCTGTCATTTTGAATAAACACTCTTAATGCTGAAAAGTGGTAACATATACTGTATGCCCTCTAAATGCAGACACAACTCTGTAATTTGATGTTTTCCACATGTACATTTAAGTGGAGGATGCACAATGTTAGCTATTCACATTCAAATGCCTTCACCCTTTCATAAGGTGCTCTTTGCCTCTAACTGCAAGAATGTGCTGGTGTTGGTAAAAGCATCGTTCTTCAGCAATGGTCTCCTATTTTGTAAATGTCATGGCCTGTCTCAGAATATTGTTTGAATGTTGCATTCAAATTAAGATTGAATACACTCATTTGACAAACATTTGACCTTTAGCAATGTTGTCAAAATTCTGTCATGACAGCTGCAACCTTGTTTCACGGTGTGCAGGTACTGGCAGAGTGAGCTTTGCTGCCATGGAGGGTAATCACAGTGGTTTGGCTGGAAGCACACAGCCGTCTGTGTCAGGAGAACAGAAAGACGGACACATTTATGAGGTTGCGGTGCAGAACAACTCCACCAACCGCAGCTCCCAGTTTGCAGATGTGGCTCTGCTGCAGACGTTCAAACCCCTCATCATCCCCTGTTATGTGCTCGTTGTGGTGGTGGGAGTCTTTGGGAATTACCTGCTCCTCTATGTCATCTGCCGAACCCGCAAGATGCACAATGTCACCAACTTCTTCATCGGAAACCTGGCCTTTTCTGACATGCTCATGTGTGTGACCTGCGTCCCTTTCACTCTTGCCTACGCCTTCAACCCACATGGCTGGGTTTTTGGCCGCTTGATGTGTTATCTGGTGTTCCTCATTCAACCGGTCACAGTCTATGTTTCAGTCTTCACGCTCACTGCCATTGCTGTGGACAGGTGGGTGGAGATGTTATGAATTATTTTTATTTATTTTTTTACTCTTTGTCCTTCCCTTCAATCCTCTTCAGTTTAGGGTCTCTGTTGGTTTGTGCAACACAACTGCACGGCCAACAATCTCCTGAAAATTGGCTAAACACGACTAAAATATGACACAATTCAGTGCATAATAATTAATCTAACAGACTCCTCTGGCTTAATATTAATCAATGATCAGGTTTTTGTTAGGTCATGCAACAGACTGATCAATTAGAAATTTTAAAATAACAGTTAAGTCAAAAATGTAGTAATAATACATGTAGCTGCATGAGTCAAACTCTAATTTATTTATCACGCTTTGGCAAGATAAATCCATTTGTGAGTTCATGAACAAAGACCGAATGCAAAATAGTTTGGGCTTACAGCAGTATGTGATGGGACCGGACAAAAACCCAATTATTCAGCTTGAAACTTTGTGCGCAGAAAAAAACAATCAGATGCAAAACATGTCCTCAGGTGGCCTCCAAGATCCATAGACGTTGCAGCTCACTGCTCCACTGCTGTTGTATCATGTACACCACTGCTCAATCTTTAAGTTTAAAATCGTAATGATTTTCCTCTTCATCTGTACTGGACTGTAACAGTCCAATTGTCTGCTCTGTCTCTGTAACTTTTAACTTTTCTTGCTTGTCTTTTTGTGAAACACCTTGTGCTGCATATCCTCCATAAAAGGTGCTTATACTATGACTTTATACTCATAGACTGTATATAAAAAGGTTATACTGTTATATTATTATTATACAGTGCAGATTGATCCTGTGCAGTAACTCAGTTAGAGCTAATGAACTAATATAACATTTATACATTAAGTAATCACATAAGCTAAAAGTAGCTTTTATTAAAAGTGTGCTGCAGGAGTTCACTGTTAATCATGTATTAATTTATACATAAGTTTTTACCCTCATTATAAAGTACTACTCTTTCTTTCTTTCCTGCAGATATTATGCGACAGTTCATCCCTTAAAGAAGCGTACAACTGTGGCTACCTGTGCCTCCGTTCTCACTGGCATCTGGCTGCTGTCATGTGGGCTGGTTGCTCCAGCCATCACCCACACCTACCACGTAGAGTTCAAAGATGAAGGCTTCACCATCTGTGAGGAATTCTGGTTGGGTCAAGAGAAAGAAAGACGTGCTTATGCATACAGCACCCTGCTGGTCACGTATGTCCTGCCACTCTCAGCTGTCTTTGTCTCTTATCTCTGTATCACTGTCAAACTGAGGAACTGTGTTGCACCCGGCCACAGGACACAAGACCAGGCAGGTGCTCAACAAGCTCGTAAGAGAAAGATCTTTCGCTTGGTTGCACTCTTGGTGTCTGCCTTTGCGGTGTGTTGGCTTCCTATTCATGTATTCAATGTGCTGCGAGACATAGACATTCACCTCATTAACAAGCGCTACTTTTTACTTATCCAACTGCTGTGCCACCTGTGTGCTATGAGCTCATCTTGTTGTAACCCCTTCCTCTATGCATGGCTACACGACCGCTTCCGCACCGAATTATGGAAGATGGTCAAGTGCCGTCATCGCATTGGAGTGCCTGCCAATAACTGTGCCAGTGTGGTCTTGTAATCACCTGGTGAAGAGAATCCTTTGTCGTTATCTTAATGTAAATTGCTGATTCATCTTGAGTACAAGAGTAAACTTTTGTGTGTCACCACACTAATGAAGTTCATCCTCTTTCGTGGCTAGCTAACAATTACTTGTGTTATGTACAAAGATGATTTATTGGCCCAGGGTAACTCCTGAAGAGAACATGAAGGTGTACAGTCTATTTAAAGGTCTTCTCATTAGAGTTTGAGATATGAAATTAAAAAGTATTAACTGTAGTAACACTTTCCGGGTTTTTCTGTTACCAGAAAAAGGCCAGTATGCCTAATCCTATGTGAACACTCCAGGTTGAATTTTCTGGGAAAACCATTAGCTGTGACTGCATGCTAGCTCATGAGTCTCTTGCCTTCTGGGCCCATCCAGCAACAACACGCAGTTAACAAGATGGAATCTGCTATAGCCAAAAAAACAACTGGATCCCAGCACAACACAGACTCCAACACAAACTCCAAGTAAGGATAAAAACCACCAACAAAGTTTTATGTGCTGGAGCCCTTCAGGCCAAACAAGAATCAGATCGAAGTTGGGTGAAAACACAGTCAATATCGGAAAGGCTTGAGTCACAGAGAGACTTCTGCTTTGTTTTGAAACCGACAAAACTGACAGAGTTTACTTTCATCCTGTTGGACAGGTAAACTAACATTACAGCAAAGCATGTAAAATATATTGTAATGTTGTTCTTTAATTGGCTCAAGTTAGATAACGTTAGCTCATGAGCTAAACACCGACCAATTGCTAACAATATCCGGTGCAAAATACTACAGTTGTATGGCTTTCCACATTACTTCACCAGCTAACGCGATCCATATTACTATCCTGAGTATCCAGGGCCGCACATAAGGGGGAAAAAAGGGGAAAGCATGCTGGGGCCCAGTAAGTTGTCACACTGCTCACAACTCCAACACTAGAGGCTCTAATCAAATAGTCATTTTGTGTGACTTCTTTTTCTATGTTCAACTTCCTGTTCACATGTGGTCATGTGGTCACGGTCACTCTATTCTGAGGTCAGCATAATTTTATTATTTGTTTGCTTCAAAAGTAAAACATTTGCACTTTACATTTTATGTATTCCAAACTTATTATGTATGAATGTTCAAAATGATATGTCAGTTTAGGGCAAGTTGTTTCAATGACTTTTGGGCAAGTCCAGTACAAATAAACACATAGATGTTAAAAGAAAATATGTGAAATTCTGTAATTACCTCTGACACTAGTATTGAATGATACTGTAAATATAATATTATACTCTGTAGTTTACAGCAGCAGCCATACGCCTGGACAAGACTAGTATATACGGTCTTATACTGTAGGCATGCAGTATGTTAGTAGATACAAACACACACACACACACACACTACATGATCCAGTTATTCGTTTAGTTATGCAACAAGGTTAATAGACAAATAAGCTTGTAATTGCAAGGAGGAATGTGTTTTTGAAGGAAGGAAGAAAATTGTCAACAGAAGACAGAGAATGGCAGTACACCACCTGACATAATGTTAAAGGCAGTCAGGCAGGTGAAGTTGAAGAACAAATCAGTCAGAAGTACAGCTAAGGATTGTGACGTAAGCCACTGACATCTCTTTTGGTCTCATCTGTGTGGAGCCATTTTCATACAGTATTCGAAAGAAGACGTGGTTTAAGTGCGATGTTTCACCTCAGGCCAGGCAATTTATGTGTGCCAGAACTGTGACTCTAAACACATGTCTGATTAGTCAGATACAGATGTAGGTCGTACAAAAATGCACATTGTTACATTAGTTTGTTTAAAAACCACATCTGTTTAGTTAAGAAGTTATACATTAAAGCAAGTTATCTGCAGCATTACATTCAATTACCATAGATCTATTTGCACTCCAGAGAACATTTGATTTTAAATTTCAAAAAAAGAGGTTGTCCCACTTATTGTGTGCTCTGCCAAAATTTTTGTTTTGAATTAAATTATTTATTTTCAAAATTCTCTAGGCTTGATTTTTGATTGATTTTACTTTCAGTTCTGGTTACAATTTGAAATCGAAATCAATATTCACAATTCTGAATGACAAGTTTTCAAACTATTTGATAATCCAGTGTGACAATTTACCTGCCGATGGGGCAAACTGTCACAAGTGCACACTCTCTATTCTCCATAATGAGATAAGATATGAAGATGTAATTAATGCAAAACTTCTGCCCAAGACTTCATTCTTTCATTTGGTATGGCATTTGTACAATTGTGATGTTCGGTGCTCAGTAAATATTAGATGGTGTGAAAAGTGAAACATACCCCGCTCTCCCCTAATGCTTGTTGTCTGTGACGTCAAAACATCAAAAGTGCACCGCATGCAGCAGGCCAAGGTTGATTGTGTTAAATATCTGGGGCTACGGATTGACTCTGAATTATCATATAAAAAGCATATTGATTATATGTAACAAGACTGGCTGTTCTATTGGGGTTTTGTACAGGTCAAAGAACGGTTTCACCATGAATGTAAAAAAGAGTCTGGTATCTCAGTTGTTATTGCCTGTTATTGATTATGGAGACATTGTGTATCAAAATGCTTCAAAACTGATCTTATGGAGGTTAATGTTAAATTTAAAAGTTTGTGCAGATTTATTCTGAATTATGACTTTCAAACCCACCATTGTGTAATGTACAATCAACTGATCAAATGTATTCATTTTAAATATCCTATTTATTTACAACAGTTTTTCATTCTGCATAATTCTAATCATATTTATTCTCTTAGAAGCAATAACAATCTTTTTTTTTTTTTCATGTTCCAAAAACTACACTTGAAATAGGAAAAAAGGCATTTAGGGTTAAGGCTCCTAGAGACTGGAACAATCTACCAACTTTCTTGACATCTTTGCTGTATCTAGGTTCATTTAAGAATGCTCTTATTATTCACCTTACAACAGACTGCTCCTGTTAATTATTGTTACTTACTGCTATACTCTACTGTTCTACCATTAGTGTCTAGATTTTGTGGCATGTGCATGGTACATGAGTGAATGTGTTTTCTTTTGTATTCTTGAAATGTTTACTATTGTGTGTTTGATGTTTGCTGTATATTGTGTAGTTGTGTACATTATTTTACGTTTTTGGTCAGGACCCCCTCTAAAACGAGATCATACATCTCAAGTGGTTTTTATCCTGGAAATAAATTTCATAAAAAATATCACTGTAACATTGCAGTGGGAATGAGTCTCCCAGTGTTTCGGACTCTGTGTGTCGGATTCTGCTCACTCATGAGTTTGAGCATGCATACGACTACACACTTGGTTGCAATCTAAAAAACGCACCGCTAGTGGCCGCTGAAAACTACATATAGCCCTTTTAAGATGATATATTGTCACTAGATAAAATGTCAGTGGGTCACATTATGACTTATCCTCTGGGGACTATGAATATCAACAGATGATTTCATGAAAATCAGGCCATTACTTTTCAAGATGATTTGTCATGGACCATAGTGTTGGTCAAGGGAAACTTTCAGATTATTGTGGTGTAAGAAGAAAGATTTTTGGAATCATCCTTTGAAAACCATGCATATCCATACCAAACTCCAAAGCAATCAAGTAGTTACAGTCAAGTGTAGATATCTTTCTCCGGAACAAAGTGTTGGATGGACAGATGAACGACTGACTTTGCCTGTTTCTGGGCCATCACTGGAGCATGGACTACCAGCCAGGCAAAAAGATAAATGTTTACTACAAATTTCACTCTTCAAAGCTAATTCAGCATTGATAAAGTTAGAGGAAAGTGTAGAGATTAATGTATCTGAAATATTTAATGTAGTATATTGTACATATGGTGCACATCTGACACCTGTGTGAAATAATGAAAATGTCTTATAATATGTTATAATGTTTGTAATAAGATATTGGCCTTTTGATATAGAGGCGATCTTACAGGTGTCAGGTTTCTTTTAACAAATGAATGAGGATAAAAATCCAATGACCTACGAAAAGCTACATATGAGTGGTGCATAATATATATTTGATATGAAGAGAAAATGAGACCGTCAGTTCAAATTGTGTTTGGAAAAGGTCATCATAATCCTCGTGTGGTGTTCCTTCTTGGAGCCATGTGGAATAAATTTAATTTATGAACTTGTTCCCCTGGGCTTTAATTTTCTTAAAGCCTGTAGTTGATGAATATGCACCTTAACATCAATTGATTTCTGACAGCACTGTATAATCGCTGTATAAATTAAACCATTTTAGTGTGGGGCTTGGTTCTGTGTTGCTATCTGTGTACTCTGATTTCTTTTGTTTCTATTGCTTCTAGAGATTTTGTACAAAATGTGCTTGACATGGCATAAATGAGTCACGTTATCAACACAATTTAACCATGTGTTGTCAAGGAGTGATAACTGGCTGGTTGGTTACTTTCACTGTCTTCATTCCAGCTCTATTGTTTAGTTTGTGTGGTAGCTGACATGTCACATTATTACACTGTCTTCTGTATGCATCTTTATCCCTTTCCTGCAGGTGGTGTATGTACATCTAAGTAAAAGATGTGTGCCTTTATTTTTGCTCTTTTCTCCATCACCATGTTCTTGGATGAAAGGACTCAGTGACTGAATGGATTTGGGTGCACACTGTATACGGCACACTGTCTCTCATTATTATCACCAAACAATGTAAATTATGTATATGATTAGTAATGTGACATGTATCACTTGAGCCACAGCTTGTACTAAAAATACACCGTGGAAAATTGTGAATAAAAAAAAAATAAAAAGTAGAGGTTGAATTCAGATCAATGTAACTGCATGATGGCCCCAGTTTGGGGGTCACAGCCCCCAGTGCTCCGATTAACACTGGCACCACTGTTGCTGTTACTTTCCACATCTTTTCTAGCTCCTCTTTCAGCCCTTGGTATTTCTCAAGCTTCTCGTGTTCCTTCTTCTTGATGTTGCTGTCGCTTGGGATTGCCACATCTATCACTGCAGCCTTCTTCTGCTGTTTGTCGATCAACACGATGTCTGGTTGGTTAGGCATCACCAGTTTCTCAGTCTGGATCTTGAAGTCCCACAGGATCTTAGCTCGGTCATTCTCAACTGCCATAGGAGGTGTCTTCCATTTTGACCTTGGGACTTCCAGCCCATACTCATGGCAGATGTTCCTGTACACTATGCCAGCTACCTGGTTATGGCGTTCCATGTATGCACTTCCTGCCTGCATCTTACACCCTGCTGTTGTTATGTGCTGTATTGTCTCAGGGGCATCCTTGCACAGTCTGCAGCTGGGGTCCTGCCAGGTGTGGTAGACCCCAGCTTCTATTGATCTTGTACTGAGTGCCTGTTCTTGTGCAGCCATAATTAGTGCCTAGACTTTTCAGGACCTGCCTTACTCTCTGTAGGTATTTTGCTGTGGCAAACTTCCTTGCTGCCTCCTCATGGTTTCCGTTAGCCTGCGGCACCCCAAGGTATTTGTAGCTGTCCTGAACATCTGCAATGTGGCCTTCTGGTAGTTCAATCCCCTCAGTTCTGATCTTCTTCCCTCTTTTTGATACAATGCGACCACACTTGTCCAGTCCGAACGACATTCCAGTGCCGTTGCTGTAGATCCTGGTAGTGTGGATCAGTGAGTCGATGTCTCGCTCATTTCTGGCATACAGCTTGATGTCATCCATGTAGAGGAGGTGACTGATGGTTGTTCCACTTCAGAACCGGTATACGTCGCCAGTCTTTGTGATGATGAAAAGAAGGGGCTACCTAAGAAATGTGTAATGTGTAATATATATATGATTTATTTAATTATGCAATCTCGTATCCTAGGTCATATTTCAAAACAGATCAGCACTACAGAGGGCTGACATAAATCTGGCACTCCATAGTTACTTTTACAATATGTGCTGTGCCATAGAAGCATGTTTAGTTTAGATTTTCACAGTGTAATCAGTCAAACCTGTTATTCAGGCTGCCACTTACATTGAATTTATAATGCAGAAATCATACCTTACATACTCTCTTAGGCAAAACTTCTCATTGGTAATACAATAAAGGCTACATTGGAGGCTTGGCATAACAGACGTTTTTGATTATGGTAGGAACACACAGGTGTTCCTGATAACATTGACGACGGATTAGTTCTATTCAATTGTCGCAGTAAGCCATGACAGTACGACAGCATGCATAATACTGGGACCTTGAAACCAAAACAGCTGAGTGGAATTCGGTCATGATTAATTTTATTATTCAAACATGTGCTATCCTTGCTGTGACATGTCAAAATGTCTCCCGTGAAAAAACAAGAAAAGTTGGTCCAAATGTGCAAAACCAAATTGTAACCAAGGTAGATGCTTTTCATCAGGGGTGGTGATGTGGATGGTGTGCAAACAATTTATTCTTGTATTTCCTTTTTTTTTTTTTTTTAAAAACAGTTTTAGTGGGAATCCTCACACTTCATTTTTCACTGTGCACATCTTGTGATGTGTCCAGAAACTTCTACATGATAATTATTTATTAACCACTTCAACACAACTTTTTTAGTAAGTAAATCAAGTAGCAGCAAAACAACGATACAATCTATTACTGGATAAACTACATAAGGTAGTAGCATCTTCATCAATACATTAGTGGTCATGATTTCTCACACTCAGACAAGGACAGTATCTTCTGTGTCAGAGCAAAGTCTCGAATTTCTTGAGGAGTGCGAATGTATGACTCAATTTCACTGTCAGAGATTTCCTCATCACCAGTTACATCTTTGAGCTCAGGCTGCTCCAGTCTCCTTCTCTTAGCATGAATCACGCACGGAGGAGCAAACAGCACTCTCTTCCCCCAGTTTGGTGCTGGATCTTGGCTCTCCTGAGTGTTACTGTGCAGCTCAGGTACTGTGAATGGATTAACATCTTTATCTCCTGGTTGCTGGGCCTGTTCAGCATTCGTTTCACATTGTTCCACAGAGGATGCATTTGGAGTCTGCTCTACAGGCTCAGAGATATGGGAGGGAGCAGTCTCCTCAGAGTCCACACAGCTTTCCTGACACTCTACCAGCAGAGCGTCCTCGTGGGTCCTCTGAGCCCTCCTTAGCAGGGTGTACCTGTGCTGTAGAATATCCTCCACCTGCAGAACAACGTTATCCGGCGTCACTGCTTCCCTGAGCCAGGGAATCTCCTTACCTAGCTTACACAGCACCTCCTTTATCTCAGTTATTCTCTTCAAAGCAGGCTTGTGCTTATTGACCTTGGCAATCTGACAGAATTTGTCCAGGGAGAATTTCAGGCGCTGCTTGTTGGGTTTCAAAGACTGCCAGCCCAAGAATATTGCTGCCATCATGATGGGGATGGGTTTACGGCCAGTCACAATCCAGGCATCTGCTGCCAGCTCCACCAGGGCAACGGCCCGTTTGGTCAAGTCCTTGGAGTTCTCAGCCAATTCTTCAGGAACGTGAAGTGAACTTATTTTGTACCTGACAGAAAGAACAACATCCTTAGTAAATATAAAATCTTGATCCCCCTAGGCTGGAATGTATCATTTAAAGCACTTTTTCAAACGCATGATTTAGAGCACTGTTGGTTTTCAATTCTGCCTGGGAGCTTTCCAAATAGACATACTTAACTGTAAATTACTCCAATTAGATTGATTTGGATCTGGGCTCAACTCAGAGTAGCTCCACTAAAGTCCAGTCAGGCAAAAGAGAATTCAACATTTCTAAAAACAAACAAACACCTAACTAAATAAGAATCATCGCTGTCCACTTGTGAACATTTGAAAATACAAGCTTAATAGCCCTGTCTTTGAGAATCAAAGGCAAGTTATCATAGGCCTGGGTCCTACTTCTATAAAATGAGACTCATTTGTTTAACAGGAAGACAAGAATGGCACTGATGGATGGATTAGTCAGAATTAGCAGTTATTCATCTGTTGTTCTAAAATATAAATAAGTCTTTCTGATCGGCCTAGTTAACCATCACATTGCCGATAAGGTTTCTCCAGTGAAGAGTGACACTTTAACAAACACTCAGACCACTGCTCTTCACTTACTCCTGACAGTGGGCCTCCATGACATCAGTAATGTTGACGGTCGGAGCTTCAATGTGGAGAATCTTGACCATCTCTTGATAAATGGCTCCCACCACCATCGGGTCGGCATCCAGCAGGCAGCTGATGGTTCCTGTGGTAATGGGCCAATTGAGCAGTCTGCAGCTTACAAGCACACAGCAACCAGCGAGAACTTCTTTCTTCTGGAGGCTCACTTTGAGGAAACTTTCATGCTGATAGGCCTGGTTGAAATAGTTCTGAGAGAGGTTCTCGATCTCACTGTGGACCCGGAGACTCCGACATATGGCTTTCACACGCTGCAGACCTGTAGAGAAATAAAGATGTGTGAGCATGTGCGAGTGAGAGCGACAGAATCAACTATATATAGAAGAGCTGCTGTGTTATAGTATCTGTAACAAGCACAAGCTCCCCTAGGAGAGAAGATCTCACCTTTAATCAGGTTCATACACGGCTTTTTGGCCACAGCTGTGGTTCGGCTGTAGCTGACATCTGTAAGAAGCACAGAGTAAAGGCAAAATCTAAAATCTAAAGGTAAAAAAAGTGTTAGAAGGTTGGGATTAGCAGTGATACAAACACTGAGTAAATGCACCTATTACCATGCTATTTCTCAATATAGAAATACTTTTTGAGTGTAGCGAATGGGATAACAGTGTCTTCAGTATTATTAGTGTCATCTAAATGTTGCCAGTTCAAAATAAAAAAGTAAAACAATTACACTGCTTCATTATGTTTTTCACACTTTTTTAAAAAAAAAACACAGCAGATAAGGGTACACCATGTCTAGAGAAAGGTTGTGACACTGATTGACCTGGCCAGCTAGTGAGTGTGATCATGTTAGGGACTCACAGTAGGTATGTGTTTCTCCACTTTGTTGCTGTAAAACTGCTTATTTCAGATGGTTATTGTTGCATTATATGGAGCAGTAGACAACTTTATGCTATTTCAAGAGAGCAGAGTAGGTTTTCTTCTGAATCTTTTGACCCAGAGCTGGATTACCTACCAGGCAAAGTGACTCCAAACCCTCAGGGCTCTTAAAAGGGCCATATTCAAGTGTCATTTGCCTTGTGGTAATTTGAGTAATTGCATATTTTTTAGAAATATGCAACATTACAGAACCTCAAGGCATGCCCTCCATTATTACCAGTCTTTTAGAGGGCGCTTGGTCAAAATTTACAATAAGGTACGGCTGCAGACTATAGCACCTCAAGCCACGCCCCCTCGCAGTAGAGTCTGTTATGATTAGCTATCGCCTACCTCAAACCAAGTAGGGTCAATACGTTCTGCACATAAGCATAGTAAAGTAGTTCAAGGAAACCAGCAATAAAAAATAAACTTTATACAAAAACACTAATAATAATAATAATCTTTTATTGTCCATTTCCATACAGTACGCATGCTAAATTAATTCTCCGCATTTAACCCATCTTAATTAGGAGCACAGGGCAGCCAATACGCCCAAGGAGCAGTTAGGGGTTCAGGGTCTTGCTCAGACACCTTCGGCCCAACAGACTGAGCTACTGCCACATTAACAAGGAGTCACTGCATTAGCAATAAGGTTTTCATTTTCTAATGACCTAGATCCAGTGGGGACGTCACGGTCCTCTGTTGATCTATTGTAGGTTTAGGGGGTTTAACTGGAGGCTCAAGCAGCACCCCTGGTCTACAGTCTGCAACTGGACCCTCCTCAAAATTTAAATGGCTCAAATTCCTGAATAAATGCGTTTAATCAACTTACCATTAACAGGGAGGTGAATGGGGGTCCACAGCTACTTTTTGCCAGAGCCCCTTAGTCAGCCAAATGAACACATTTTGAGATTTGTCTGAAAATGTCTGCCTTTACCTCCCAAAAAAAATCTAAGTGAAAGGGATTTGTTTATGGCGCTAATTACGTAGAACATTTACATTTATTGATTTTGCTGACGCTTTTATCCAAAGCGACTTACAATTGCTATTTATGTCAGAGGTCGCACACCTCTGGAGCAACTAGGGATTAAGTGTCTTGCTCAAGGACACATTGGCGTGTCACAGTGGATTCGAACCCAGGTCTCTCACACCAAAGGCATGTGTCTTATCCACTGCTCCATCACCACCCCGGAGAAATGATGTTTGCATCATTTCTTTGCTGCTCTGTTGTTCCACAAGTGGTGCAGCTGTATTGTCAACACAAAAAAAAGTGAATACAGTAAAACAAAATAGTCCAAACTGACAAACTCAAAAACAAATTCAGGAGAAAAAAACCAAACTATCTAGTAGCCACTTTAGACTGATCCTCTAGTAGCTGTCGAAGAATGAGAGTTGTCATTTCAATCGATATGGACTTCCAAAAAAGCAATGAAGAGGGACCAAATTTTCCTAAAATCCTCATGTGTGTCCTTCAGAGCAAACTTGTCTCTTTCAAGGCTGTTGTGGTAAAATCTTCTTTGCCGTTATAACAGTCTTTATGGTAGTTAGCGCTAAAAGCGATTCAATGTTGGTTCTGGCTGCACTGCAGGACCAGCCACTGTACAAACCACTCTGTTTCTGAGTTACCTTTTAGGAACAATATAATCTGTGTAACAAATTGGATTAAGCTTTCCCTAGTAGCGCTCGATGAATCAGCCAACATTGGCTAATTGCAGTATATTTCAGTATCTGTGTAAATGTCAGCTGGTAACTAACAAGATATTGCAGTACACAAATGCAAAACTGCTGCAGGTTAGAGATAATTTAAAAACATGTCTCCATTACATAGTTTGTCCATCAGAGAGACAAACCTGAGAGCATTACATTTATTCATTTAGCTGACGCTTTTATCCAAAGCAGCTTATAATTGCTATTTATGTCAGAGGTCGCACGCCTCTGGAGCAACTAGGTGTTAATGGTCTTGCTCAGGGACACAATAGCTGGCGGATGGCTTACAATGGGAATTGAACCCTGGTCTCCCACATCATAGGCAAGCATGTTATCTATGCACCATCACCACCCCAGCACTGACAAGTTGACTTCTAAACTGTCCTGTTTGATATGCATCTTTGTCACAATTAAAAAACAAACAAATCTTCATCAAGAACATTAGATTCTTCTGTGTTTACTGGTATGTTTAAAATATACTATTTATAATATTTGCTAATAGTTGTTATATGGTGCTTTTTGGAGGGGGTGGATCATTTATTATATTTAGGCATTTGTCTTATTTGACAACTTTTATAGAGAGAGACAGGAAATATGGGGTGTGAGATAAACTCCCAATATCAACATTAGTACAAGCCTCAAACATTTAAGTGCTGGTCGGGCAGTACTCTAATATTTATGGAAGATATCTGTGTATAAACGGTCATCCGATGTTTTTCAGGTCAATAATGGCGGGCGATCTTAAACTTTAAAGTTTGTCGTATAGATTTTGATATAGTCCTTTGGGGCTTAAAGGGACAATGTGTAAGAATTAAGACTCCACCTGTCAAATTCATATTCCAAACAAATAGGGGGCAGCATATCACATATCAGGTCATAACATCTAGTTAGCTCCATTAGCCGTGCAGATGACTTAGCGGCCCTATTAGCTGACTGAGTCCTGATTGGACACCAGAACTGGAGCCAGGCGAGCGCGCAATAGAATCAGGCTCAGCAAGCAGCCTCCGCCTGGGCAGTGTGTAGAGTCAGAATATTTTCACATCAAACTCCGTGAATTAAGGGTTTGTTTCCACCAAACCAGACAAACAATTAGTTTGGTGAAAGAGAGAAATAGGTGTAAGAATATTTCTTATGTTGACATTTTGAGAATTTAGTTTATTTATTAGACTTAGAGGGATGAGACTATCACCGCTTGAGGTACAAAATGCTATTACAATCATAGACTGTGTAACAAGAAGCTAAAGACCTGAGAAGGCAACCACCTGTCACTCAAAGCAGCCACATTCTTAACTGCATTAACTTTAAGTCTTGATATAATTTAAATGGGTAATTGACATAATATAAAGTAAGGTGTGCAGATTCAAAAAGTAAACACTAAAATAAGGCAGAGAATTAAGTAGAATTAAAACGGTGAAACATTTATCAGGGTCAGAAGTGACGGAAGTGAATGTTCTTGAATTGTGTCCTCTTCACTACTGTGACTGTGTCTTGACTCAATGAGTGTCTCGAATCAGGTCTCATTATCACTCCGGTTCGTACCTGAACCCCCGACTGGGTCATCGGCCAGAGTTCCCTCGGCCACCACATATCCGCAGTCCACACACACCAGCTGTGTCTGGGCGTACAGATCATCGTCCACAATGTTTGAGGACCCGCAGCCCGGGCATCTCAAACCCGCAGACATCTTCCAACTACACTGCCGCCACGTGCGGACAGCCGACTGCAGAGAACAACATAAAACTGGTGTTAAAATAATCCGTGCACCTGCAGCACAGTGACGGACTCCACGCCCGCACTGAGAAACTGTGATCAGCGGTTCAACGACCAATGAACGTTATTTTCTCTAGTCGGACGGGGGCGAGTGAAATGTTTCCGGGCGGATACAACCTTTGTAATGGCAAAGGTTCCGCTTGGTCCTAACAAAAACGGCCATTTCCACAGCAGTCCCTTTTTTTATATCCAGTCTATGAGTTATCCTCACCGATAATAAAACTAGAAATGGGAATATGGCTGTTGGAAATTAAACATGTCTTCTTCTTTCATCATGTCTTACTTTCCTTTTTGAAGAGATGAAATCCGATATTAGTAAATACAGGAGACTCTCCATTGATAATGACTTTGGTAGATATTAGGAACTGTTAAAATTGCAAATAAGTAAATTTGTAGTCCATTTGAAAAAAGGCCAGAAAAGGTAAAAACAATTAAATGCAGGGAATCCCAAAATGCACAAATTATTAAGAAATCCAAATGATTGCCATAGAAAAAAAAAACTACACAGAGTTATGTGCGTTTGTCAGAACAAGAAAGGAATGCATTTTATTTTGCATATTTTAAAAGCATAATGCAGTAACCTCAGTACAGTGCAGTGATTCAGTGTAGGCTACATCATGTTAATAGCATAAGCGGAGTAAAGTGCCTTTTGGGGTTTAGTAGAATCATGTAAACTTTGACATTCAGTAGGCCTACAAGAGAAAAAAATCTTATCTACATGACTAGTGCATAGTGTTGACAGTAAAATAAGGCTTTTCTTCATACTGGAGATATCTCCAGAGGACAGAAAGCTAACAGTCTCTGGAAAAACAGACAGTTGTGTTTTGTTTTTACCACCATTAAATACAGTCTGTCACATAGGCAACATGCAACATTTATCAAAGTAATTTCTGTAAAGAAATGTATGCTCAACATGGAAATAGTCATAACAAATACACAAGAGTTTTTTCAATGTCACACATGTACATACTGTAGGAAAAGTGACAAAAACATAAAAAATATCTTTGTACGCATTAACATCTTTGATTGCAAGTAGACATCATCCCCAATTGAAAGACTCTTAGCTGAAAGATCTTTTACAAAATATGTCAATCTTCATCATTATTTATTTGCCAATATGTTGAACTTGAGTTCTATACTGTTCAAACATTGTAAATCTAAACCCTTACTACAGTTACATTTCATAATATAATCCACGTATCTCAAGGTGACACTTCTGTTGTGGGATTGCCAGATTACTGGGTGGGAACAAAGTGTCAGCTGTGAATCCACCTAGGCAGATTTCTTCAGAGAGTTCATGGACATGAGAATACTCGGTTGCTCTTCTATGACACGCACAAGCAAGTTGTCAATGTACTGCTCCAGCTCTGATATCTTTTTGTCTCTCTCTGAGAGCTGCTTTTTCTGTTTAAGCACCAGAGAGATGAGTTCCTCCTGAGTCAGCTGGGAGTACGGCCCTTTCGGCCCGGTGTCATTTGCCTGTGAGAGTGGACATGGAGACAACATGAAGAACATTTATGTTAAACCCAAATAAGACACAAATCTGAAAATGGAAGATTCAAATGTTGATGGTATTTGATGAACCAGACAAACAAGCAGTTTACATACATACATACATACATACTCACTCCTTGGTTAACTTATTTTGATAACCAAGACAGAAGATCCTTTGACCACCATAAATGATTTGTTTAAAAAGAAAAAAAGAAAAAGGAAAAGATACCTTTGTGTTCTGCTGATCACCACAAAGGATTCCTGTGGATTTGTTATCTTTTTCCCCTCCAACAACTGAGACAGACTGCTGTTCCAAAGGATTAAGGGGTTTTACAGGTTGAAGCCTGCAACGAAAGAAAAACAGATTTAGGTACTAGCTGGATGGGAGTGAAAGGAAATGAGTGGTGGTGTGTAAGTTTGACTCAGTTATAAAGCCGTTTGCATGATGTATAATTTTTCTATAAAATCAAAGAGCAACCTAGTTAATCACTAGTTAAACAGAATATTATTTGTATTAAGACTATAAGCATTTGCCCACACCAACCTAATCATACAACACAATAAATAATACAAGCAGAGATCAATAATGAACGAGTATGAATGATGAAAGATGAATCATAAAAGACTGCGCGGCATGATGCATCTTTTTCTTATTATGGAAGATCTTAAGGCATGATGTCAGGAGCTAGTGGTGAGTGTGATTTATAATAAATGACCAGAAGGATGAGTGATAAATATTCTGTTAAGGAACTGGACTGTTTCACCTGCGTGAACCTGTAGGAGGCCCCCCCTTCTTCCCGCTTGCCTCCTCTCCAGCAGACGGGGACTCTTGTACATGCAAAGGACTGATAGACTCAGGGACACATGCGTCGGTTATCCTGTTATCAGGTACCATTACGCCTGTTTCTGCCTGGCTTTCTTCAGTGTTTTGGCTGATTAAAGTGCTCGAAGTGGCGGCTTTCGTTGTAGGAAGTGGGGGAGCACGGGCCACTTTTGAGGATTTTATTTTTGTTTGAGAGGCGGCGCCTTTATCGGCTCCTTGTGAAACAGCCGGAGGCTCTTGTACTGAACCAGTTTTACCAGAGGTTGTGGTATCATCATTGGCTGTGAGCTCATTGTCATCTTCATCATCTTCAAATGGATTTAAGCCATAAACAGTTGTCTGTTGTTTTGCCTCTGAGCCACATTCATGGAAAATTTTGCCGTCAGATGACAGGGCTGTTTTGGGTTCAGATGACGGCCCTTCTTCCACAGAACGAGGTCTAGATGGTGCAGGACGCTTACTGTGTTTGGCTACATTTGTTGTTCCTTCAGTGGTACTACTTTGCGGCAAGCTCTGGGTGTTCTTTGTTTCTGTGGGAGACCTACTCACAGGAGCGATAATTTGCACTGAGCGCTGAGGGAGAACGCTGATGGTTTTGACATCTTTGCCTTTACTGTGCTTGTTAATTTTTGCCAGATGTGGTGTAGTCCCGTCCTGCTCCTTCTGACTCTCCCTCTCAGCTTGATTCCTTCCTGGAGGCTGAGGAGCCGGCCGCTTTTCACGTTGAGAACTAATAAGATCCTTTTCATCAGTGGAAACGGTTTTGCTTCCCACTGATGACTCGGCAGATTGACACCTGGAAATGAGACACAGACTGCATGACATTTAAGCTTATACTCAATCATTAAATGGAGTCTTATAGGGAGGACAAGATACTCTAATAAGGTTTGAAAATAAATTCAGATCTAAGAAGTGCTTCACTGGCATTGAAAAACCATCTAAAACAAGTCATCAAGGATGTTGAAGAGGAAGATATTAGAATATTGTGTAAAACCTTGTGTTGCAAAATAAAACAAAAAAGGAGAACACAGTATGTATTTTTTTTATTTTCTTCATATGAAAAAGCAGTGCATAGTAAATACAATATAATGTAGGAAGATCAATTAATTAATTAATTAACCGAGCAAATCACATCCTGAGATCTGCAATTACTATCCACCTTCAGCATCACTCACTGAGTAATGAGTAATTATCCATTGTTTCATGTCATTTTCACTCCCTGTTCATCTGGCACCTGCTATAAAAAGAGCTAAGACTATGCAACGAGCCCCCAACCTTAGTTGAAAAAGAGAGACATAACGTGCATGCATCTGCACGCTCGTACCGACTCTAACACACGGATACAAGCGTTGCCATTTTTATGACATTTTGTGTCAGCTTTAGGTTGCATTTAAAAGAGAAGTGCAGAGAAGAACTGTAGCTATGTCGTGACCGACTGAAATACTGTAGAAGATAAACTATATTCAGATAACACTCTGTCAATGGCATGTCTGTCATGTTGATGACTCTGACTTTATATCATTTTCATCAGGCATTCAAATTTTGTTTCACTACCTCCTTTGCAATTCTGTTCATGGTCCAGTTCTGTTCCTGATAACTAGGGCAGGTTAACTCCATCTAGTTTAACACCCACAACCTTCACTATTTCCCACAGGTGTATTTTAAACCGGTTTTAAAAGGTGTGAAAGTTTCTGGGGAGTCTTTTTTTCCCATGTTAATTTTGAGAATGCTCACAGAGCGAGGAGTGTGAGCTTCAATAGACAATTCATGGATGGATAGCCATGGAATTTGATAAACACATCTATGGCTCCATCAGGAGGAAGTGTAATAACTTTGCTGATATATCGAGCACCACCATCAGTCCCTGAAAAGCGGGTTGTAATGTTTTATAAATCTTTATGGTTATGTTTCTCGTAAAGTCTCGATTGACTGCATATACTGAAACAGGAAACAGCTTCGTGTTCCAACATGAAGGTAAGGCCCAAAAAGGTTTGGAGAATAAAGCGTAGCATAGTGGTGAGGAGGTGTGACACTTTAAATTAAAGTTACATTTTCATGATGTTTTATTTTTAATTTATTTTTTTACACAATAATACAACAAGGGAAGGCTACTTCTAATGTTTTTTCTTCTACCATTTTGGATTTAAACATGTATGTACGCAGTGTTTGTGATCCATGAGGTGTAAGATGGCTTGAACTAACCTTTGTCGGACAGTTGGGACTTTTGCTGTGCTGCTGTCGGGTCCAGCAGGTGAGCTGTGAATCTCCTCAAAGGGATTATTTGAAATCAAATTTTCATCGAATGGATTAGTAGAAGTGACGTCTGCAGGACTCTCCATGGCCACTTTAGATTTCATCTCTGCAGCTTTGTGTTTGGTTTCATTTTCCCTCCTCTTCTCTCCTACAAACTTCTCTTTCTCCAGCTTCCTGGCCTGCTCTTCTTTACTCTCCCTTTCAGCTTTCTCCTCCCTCCTAGCCCTCTCCTCTTCCTCAGTACGCTTCATTTCTTGTTCCTCTAGTCTCCTCTTCTCCTCTGCTAATCTCTCCATTTCTTCATTTTCCTTCCTAACCCTCTCCTCTTCCTCTCGTCTTCTCTCTTCCTCAGCCAACCTCTCAACCTCTTCTTTTTCTTGTCTCCTAATCCTCTCCTCTTCTTTACTAATCCTTTCTGCCCTTTGCCTTTTTTCCTCGTCCTCAATTCTCCTCCTTTCTTGTTCTTCTAGTATCCTCTTTTGCTCGGCCAA